TCTTGGTGACAAACATTAACAATGAATTTTACTTACATTATCTGCATGAGCTGCTGAATGACAACATGGATGAAGGAACCTGGCCTGAAACTGTTTGTGCAACAGGGATGGAGAGAAGATAGATGCCATCTGGACAAATCTCAGGTTCGTATGAACCTCCATGATGAGCAAGGATGAAGCATAAGTGGAGAGAAAAAATAACTCCCCTTGGGATCATATATTTCTGGCAGAACCAGGCTCAACATGATGGTCTTCTGCTGGCTGGGGTTGCCTTGTGAGAGCAGTATGAGTCCATGGAATTACAAGCATAGAGAAGGTACCAGGTTCACCTGTGTACCAGGTTCAGCTGTTGATGTGAAGGTCTTTAAAGCTGAACTCTGGATGCTGATTGGATTATGAGAAGCTGCGATTGTCAGGGTTTGGTTGACGTTAGAGGACCCAAATGCAGAGGCAGGGAGGCAGGGGTGAGTTTCTTAAAGATTTTATTTAATAGACACAGGTAACAATCCAAATCCAAAAATCCAAATTAAAAATGTAAAACAAACCAGAACAATGGAGACATCAGGGGAAAAAATCACAAGGAGCCAGGGTAAGACGAGGTAAGACGACGTAAGACAAGGAACTAGCGATGAGGAACTGCACAATGAGAGTATTTATGGTAGACTGAACAAAGAGAGGATTAACGAGCAGATTGGGAGCAGGTGTGAAGAGAGCAGTCTAGGAAGGAGCTAGGGAAAAGGAGACCAACACAAGAGGGCAACAGAGGGCAACAAATAAAAACCTAAGAACTCGAATATATCCAGAAAATACAACAAAATAGGAATTAAACCAATAAAACTAGACAACATAGAGCAAAGTAAAACATAACAGAACCAAGACCGTGACCACGATTAAATGCTTAACAGCTGTTTCACAGACGGATGAGCCGCTGATTGCATGAGGGTAAGTAATCCAGTTAAGGTCAACTTCTGCCTACAGGCTTCATTTATCAAGGTGTCAGCAGCAACTAATTAATAGTTAACAAACTGTTAATCATTTATGGAACACAAACCTTCTCAGACAAGTTTCAACCCCAAAATAAAATGAAATAAAAGTAAAACTGACATTTAAAAAAAAACTTTAAATTTTTTAGTGAGATGGTAAAAATGGAAAAAAAACAGACAAAAAAAAATAAAAAACTAAAACACACAGCTCCTGGAATCGTTTTGAAAACATATAAAAATAAATGTGCGCCCAAACCCTCATGTGGGCTTTATGCTCTGGGGAGACTAGTCTGACATTTTAGCTTCTGTGGCAAAATATTTTGACACAACTACAATAAAAATGACCTCAGCAGGGTGATTTATTCTAAAACGGACAAACATCAGATGGAGGTTTATTTACAGAAAAGGTTTGGATTAAAGGGTCTGCATTTTAGGAAGCATATAGATATATAAACAGCATAAGTACTGCATAAGTGGAAACATAACAGATCAAATCATAGCTTTCCTGAATTTTAGATAATAGCTCATAGTTCTCATGGACATAATGAACTGTTTAAGACGGTTGACAGAAGTTACGTCTCGCCCTTTTGGTTTGTAAACCTCAACTCACCCAATCTAATTTTTTCAGATAACCTAGAAAGATTTTTCAGTCAAGAAGGGAGGATTTTTTTAAAAGTCCCTTCTTTTGAAGGCAGAAAAGAGGAAACCAGCTATAGATCTGTCATCTTGTTTTGGACAAAAACTATTAATGTGATCCTGGAGCCCAATGGGGATTCTGTGATCCTAAAACAAATCTAAGATATACACTAACCGGCCACTTTATTAGGTACACCTGTCCAACTGCTCGTTAACACTTAATTTCTAAGCAGCCAATCACATGGCGCCAACTCAGTGCATTTAGGCATGTAGACATGGTCAAGACAATCTCCTGCAGTTCAAACCGAGCATCAGTATGGGGAAGAAAGGTGATTTGAGTGACTTTGAACGTGGCATGATTGTTGGTGCCAGAAGGGCTGGTCTGAGTATTTCAGAAACTGCTGATCTACTGGGATTTTCACGCACAACCATCTCTAGGGTTTACAGAGAATGGTCCGAAAAAGAAAAAACATCCAGTGAGCGGCAGTTCTGTGGGCGGAAATGCCTTGTTGATGCCAGAGGTCAGAGGAGAATGGCCAGACTGGTTGGAGCTGATAGAAGGGCAACAGTGACTCAAATAACCACCCGTCACAACCAAGGTGGGCAGAAGAGCATCTCTGAACGCACAGTACGTCAAACTTTGAGGCAGATGGGCTACAGCAGCAGAAGACCACACCGGGTGCCACTCCTTTCAGCTAAGAACAGGAAACTGAGGCTACAATTTGCACAAGCTCATGGAAATTGGACAATAGAAGATTGGAAAAACGTTGCCTGGTCTGATGAGTCTCGATTTCTGCTGCGACATTCGGATGGTAGGGTCAGAATTTGGCGTCTACAACATGAAAGCATGGATCCATCCTGCCTTGTATCAACGGTTCAGGCTGGTGGTGGTGGTGTCATGGTGTGGGGAATATTTTCTTGGCACTCTTTGGGCCCCTTGGTACCAATTGAGCATCGTTGCAACGCCACAGCCTACCTGAGTATTGTTGCTGACCATGTCCATCCCTTTATGACCACAATGTACCCAACTTCTGATGGCTACTTTCAGCAGGATAATGCGCCATGTCATAAAGCTGGAATCATCTCAGACTGGTTTCTTGAACATGACAATGAGTTCACTGTACTCAAATGGCCTCCACAGTCACCAGATCTCAATCCAATAGAGCATCTTTGGGATGTGGTGGAACGGGAGATTCGCATCATGGATGTGCAGCCGACAAATCTGCGGCAACTGTGTGATGCCATCATGTCAATATGGACCAAACTCCCTGAGGAATGCTTCCAGCACCTTGTTGAATCTATGCCACCAAGAATTGAGGCAGTTCTGAAGGCAAAAGGGGGTCCAACCCGTTACTAGCATGGGGTACCTAATAAAGTGGCCGGTGAGTGTATCTCTAATGCCGTCATGTTAGCAGAAGGAGAAAATTAACACAGGAGTTTGGAAAGTTTTAGAACTTCCTTCCAGGTTGTGTGGAGGTTTTGGAGGACTCAAATGCAGAGATGGAAGGAGGCAGAGAGGAGTTTTTGCTGATTTAATGGTTCCAAGGGTATCAGAAGCAAAGTCCAAAAGCAAAAAAGAAACAGAAAACCAAAAAAGCAAGAGATGTCAGGGAAAACACACACAAGGAACAAAGAATTGACGAGGAAACTGCAAAAAAAGGAGAATAAATGGGAGACTGAACAAAGACTGGGCTAATCAGCAGACGCAGAGCAGGTGTGGATGGAAGAATCTAGAAAGGAGCTTAGAAAAGGAGAATGACACAGAGGGTGAACAAGAAATACATAAGAACTCAAATATAACAAGAAAACATCACAACATGTAAATAAAACCAATGAAACTAAAAAAAGAATATAGAACCAAAACCATGACCCGTCCATTGATCTTTAATGTGCTATTATTGTTTACTTTAAAACCTATGTTAAAAGTATGGCTTTAAAAAACATTAAGTGGAAAGAGAAGGTAAACAGAACTTGAGCATGAACCAAACATCAATTTTCAGTGAGGCTGATGCTAATCTAATTTCATTTTTACAAATTTGTGTTTCTGGAAGGCAGCAGAATCCAATTCCCTGTTCTGCTCCATGTGCTCACTTCCAGCTCAGTCAAAAATGATTTAAAATTATAATCAACACTGTAAGGATTCAGTTCACCCTTGTGACAGAAAGTAGATGACTTCCTTAAAAAATAAATAAAGCTGCCATCCTGTTAACTATAGTTTTGTACATTTCCATAGGGAAAAAACACACAAAAAATTGTCATATGAATTTATATTTTGTGATTCATGAAAGTAAAACGCTAATGAAAGATTTTTGGACAGAAGATGTAAATGCTTAATTCTTTTTTTCCCTCTGCTTTGATCTTCACTGATTCGCCCTTGAAGCAGCTAGTTTTTCATTTGTATTCCCCCTCTGGCCTACCTTCTTATGCCAATTTATGAAAGCATATTCCTTTTGGGGATGTATTTGGTTTTTCTTATGTATTCTTTCTTAAAAAATATATAAAGGTTTAAAAAGTAATCATGGAGTACGGATCATTGTTTCCATCCTGGCTATGGAACTGTCAATCGGATTCTCACCAAACAGGAAGTCCCACCCGGGTCAAACGAGCTGGATTGTTCAGGTTGTCCAGTTCACATGAGATTTGTGGATATGGACGAGTTTTTTTATTCCGTCAATCGGAGCATTTTGAGGGAGGGCGTTTGAGAGTATGAGCCCTTCGTGAAGGTTGTAAGTGATTGTTGCTTAACCAAACCAGGAGCTACATCTGCAGTTATGGCACGTTTTAGTTTGTTTATAATAAGAGCGTAGGAATCAGGTGCATCCTGGACGGAAAATGTGGGAGGGATCTACAGCTTTTCCATTATTGATGCAAGCAAAGAAAAGGTTTTGCAAATGTAAATAAAAGAAAATGTAATCAAGAAATGAAACGTTGAAAAACGTAACCAATAAATCTTTTTTTAGAATAACTTTGCGGTTTTCACAAACTTTTTTTTTTTTTTTCAAATTTCCTTTTGAAAAATATGTATTTTCAAAATTCTTTTTATCGAACGTGGGACACAATTCACTCCATTCACCTACTGGATTCCCTATACCTCAACATGTATAGGTGCTGGAAAAACTTGTTTTACTTCTTACGCTACCTGTGACCCCACCTTGGGTAAGCAAAGGACAGCAGATGGACGTATGCAACTATAACCTATACTCTGTTTTCTGATTTCTTAGTAGAAATTCTTGTTTTTGTCTGAGGCTGGCATTAAGGTCCTCATATCTATTAAAGACACTGTCTATTAGACGTAATGCCTACAAACTAAAGTTTACTTTAGTCAAAACCTACAAGGGGAGGAAAAATGAACAGAAAACAACAAGTTTGCTAAAAGACAGTTTTATTAGTAGACACTCATCAGCCAGAAATAACCACCTGAAAAAGGGTCTTCCTGAAATACACCATTAGATAGGCAGTGTAAAAATAAGGCAAAGGGCTTAAGATAATCTGTGTAACACATTTGCACCAAGAATAGGTTATACATTCACTTGTTACTGTAGTTATGCTCATGATACATTTCTTCCCACTTCCCAATAACACAACAGTACAGCAATACTCCTCATAATGCAGTAACTGCTTTGGCAACAGCTTAGCACAAATGATAAGAGTTCGAGCAAAACCTCAACAGTAGGTAGAAATTAGTAATAAACCAAACTCTATTTCTACTACTGTTCCAGCAAAACCCATTTATTTATTGTAACATATTATCAACTGTGTAGCATAGTTTATTATGCATTGTAATTTTGCTGAAATCCACAATGAAATAAAGATCTTTACTAACCATTTGCCAACATGAAACATACTTGGGGGAGCAGAAGCACAAAGCAGAACAATTTCTTTTATTCCTTTTCTTCAAAGGAATAAAAAGATAAATATTTTTTTCCTTTCATAATATACCAAATTGTCGTCTTGAAAATGCTGTGTTGGAGCCGTTATTTCTTCATTATTTTAACCAGGAAGCTAAAACTAAAGTGTTTTGATGTTCTTTGTAATTCTCCAAACCTCAAACACCTTTCAGCTACAAGTCAGTGAATGTTCACGGGAAACCAGTGTTTCAGATTCTTCGTTTTAAAGCCATGCCTTTAATCAACAGTATTTAACAACTGTTTACAAAGTGCGATTATGCGTGATTTTGTTAGTGCATTTCGTTAAGTAGCATCAGTTTGAGACAAGAAACAACAACTAAATAAAGTAAGACTAATGCTGCGTTCTGTTTGTCTAACAAGTCAGAGCTTAGATATGGGAATGATGTCACACTGTAGGGGTGCTAGCAATACAAGACTAGAACAATGGATTTCTCCCCATTTTATGCATTTAGAGAGTAAAAGCAACACCTTCTCTAAAAGCTATTTTCACAGCACCATATGTGCCACTTGGTTAATAAGATACAACAAATAGTACTAGCAGATTTCACAGCGTCTTACATGAGGGGCAGCTGGTTAAGATACTGAAGCTATAGGTTTCTTGACAAATTCGCAGCTCCACATCAAGGGGGCGTGCTTGTCCTGTTTCCAAAACAGAACTCTGGAAATCTGACTTTTCAGTCCAAACAGAACGTCCTGAAAGTAAAAATGTCCTTCAGTCCCATACAACACCCCATGCCCCCCAAACACACACCCGAAGAAAAAAATTGGAGTTAGAAAATGACTGGAGCTGAGATGTGTTATGTGGTGGAATGAAGCTCATCATACATCAGAGATACAGATTCAAAGAGCTTATTTCCAAACTTTTACATATCCCTTTTTTTTTTTCTTTTTTACTGAATATGATTCTATTTGATGTTGGCAGTTTATTGTGTGCATTTCCACTGTGGGACAAAACCAGGATGCCCACTGATGCCGAGAGGGTCCTACATTAGTGTGGCGTCTTCTTGGCACACAGACTTTTGTTCACTTTAATGAGAGATCAGATTACTTCATAGCCATTGCAGTAACTTTGAATGAAAATGTGGGGACATATGTAACTAAAAGGCATTTTGAATTAGACTGCGTTTAAGGGGAGAGGAAACAAGTTCACCTACCGAAATTAAGAACCAAAAGTTTTCAGTAAAAAATACTACAACTGATGATTTTGTCACAGTGATCATCCTTTACAGCTTACATAGAATCACTCTATAGCTTATATAAAGCTAATACCAAAAGTTAAACTATGAAGCTGTGTCCCACACTGCAAAAACTGTTTATCTAACCAACTATTACTATTTTATATCTAGCAAAAACGTTTTTTTCACCTTCTTTTGAGATTGAGATACAAAGCGAGAAGTTCTGTTAGATTATCAATCTTTATTTTAAAAGATTCTACTCAATATAAGTGCAATAATTTCTGCTAATGCATTAAGACAATTACCCTTATAAAGACTTCTTGTTTTGATAATATTAACATGATTTCCAGAAGTCTCGCTGCACTGTCAGATTATTGCACTTATTTCGAGTATAATCTTCTAAAAAAAAAGATTTTTAATCTAACATAATTTGCTCTCGCTTGGTATCTCAATCTAAAAAAGTTTTTTTTTTTGGATACACTGGGAAAAAAAAGAACTATTACTAAATCCATTTTTATTGAAATAAGTGTATGTTTCATTGTTTTGAGCAGGTAAGGGAACCAATTTACTAACGGAACAAGATAAATTCCATTTAAAACTTGGTTAAATGAACAATGTTTACAGTGAAGAGATAAACATCTAATTGATACCCTGTTCAAAACTAAAATCTAAGTCAGTCAATTGTTTCTGACATTAGAGTATTTCCCTTTATATTTAGCAGGTATATAATATTAACTATTTGCTAATGGATTTTTTTTTTACATTTAGAAAAAGAAAAAAAGCAACCCTATTATCTTATTTCAATGGGTGTGTTTGGATCCCGTGGCTGCGGCCCTCAAAAGACCCGGCCTTCATTCTTCGTTCTTTGAAGGCCGTGAAAATAAGCAAGCGGGAAGAGTTCAGCTATGTTCATCGCCATTTCCCTTTTTTCTCTAAGCACAGAGCCAGTTTCCTTAGGCTCCCAAGGAATCATGGGATACCTAAGGTTACAGAGGATACACTGGACTTGTCCTTCAAAAGGGGAAAAAAGGCTGCGTTTGTTGGCCGAATAAAGAGGAGTCTTTGAATCCAAACTGGCCATGGCGCCGTGCTATGATGTAATTGGCTACAGCTGCTGGATCTGAACACACCTAATGTCTACTTATCTTGGTTTAGAGTAAAAATACTTATTCCATTGGAGTATCATCCTAATTGCCCACTCAAATAAAAGCAAAAACACCTACTTTAAGAAGTGATATACTGATTTTTAAATCTGTTTTGTAGTGAAATCTAATTTGGCCCTAGTCGCAGGAAAAAAAAAGGCTAAACAACATCAGTTACTGGAAAAGTTTCCTGCAGTGGAAATGCACCCTAAACCAACAACTGCTCCTATTCATTGTTCTAAGTTTCATCCCAAATCTTTTTTTTTAAAAGCTCTCTGCTGGTGGATATTTAGCCTCGGAAAAAAACTCTTTAACAATCTACATTAGCATTACTCAAAGAGACATAAATGACATCAAATAGAGTTAAACGTACTTTTACCAAGAAGCACTAAATACAGTATATCTTTTTTTAATAATTAGGTGGATTTTAGAAATACATACAAAAATATATAATCATCTGAATGCCCATTATACAATTCTACCCAGTAGAGTCAGAAAGAAGCCTGTACAGTAGTGAAGATTACATGTGGTACATATAAAGAGGGCAGAGTGAAAGCTGTGTAGGAGATATACAATGCAGCTGATGGTGAAGTCTGGCCAAAAATCTTTTCCTTATCCATGTCAATCCAACATTTCTGTACAAAACATTATTAAAAGTAAATCTATTTTTGTTTTTTTCTGCATAATGTGATGCTTCACATTTCTATTTGAAGGATTTGATTGACTGGCAAGTCAGCACCACCAACATGCAGGGAAACTGGCGACAACACGTTTTACCCTACAAGTAAAGAGATGCCTCTCATTCACACTAAGAGCCAACAGAAACCACCTCCAATGGTGAAGAAGCCACAGCACAGCTATGAGTTAGACTACATTATGTTTGTGTTAGAAGTATAAAAATGCTACAATAAGTGCACACAGCTTTTAAGCAGGCAGCATTTGACACATTTTAAAGATTTTCTACTCGCAGTAGAGTTTCATTTTGTTACCATTTAAATTAGTAAAGCCATTTAAACAGAGGTATACAGATGGCCGGCCTTCTTTAAGTCATATTATGGGAACACATTAAAAGTGTTTTGTTTTTTCACCAAATTAGGCCAATAGAGATTTAAGCTTTAATTAAAGAACTAAAAAACAGTGTTTAAAGTCACAGGGAAATGTAGATAAATTTAAAGATTTCCTATTTTTTTAATCACATTTAAAGGCCATACAAAATTTATTATCGGTCCAAGATAAGTTAAGTAAGAAAGATGGTGAAAAAAAGCTGTCCAAACTAACCAGGTCCTAAGTTAAAAGTAATTGCCCCCTGAATACTAAATTATCCCATCCTTTTGATTTGGTGATTCTTAACTAAAAATAGTAACATCCAACAAGCTTTTTGTGATAAATTCCAGGCAGACATTTGTATTTAGAAAAAAGGGCCACCCTGCATATTTGTATTTTTGAAGGTTTTTGAGCTGAAAATGGCTTTAAGTCATGTTTCAGAATGTCAATTGTATTTAAAGATACATAGTCATGTTATACTCCTATACCAAAAATACTGAAGTCCTTTTGATTCTGATAAAATAAGACTATATACTCCAAGCATCTGTCCTAATGGTGTTAGACTGTCCTTTTTCAGCCTAAACAGAACCTCAGCACTGAGCATAATGAGCTGACATAAACAAATATGGCGCCATCTACTGGCAGTACAGCAGAACTACCAGAAAACCAGATGGTGGCCAAGAAAGTGCCTACTAAATAAGTTCCAACAGTGATGTAAATCTTTGCTGAAACCCAACACGTCTGACGGCTTAAAAACATTGCTAATGTAACACCAGTAGCACTGTTAGCTAGGAAATGTTCTCACGTGTCGATTAACTTTGATATCGGAAAGCTTCCTGAACAGTCAGACCGTTTTCTCGGTGCAACTCCAGTCATCGTGTGCCTTTATACACTTAATCTTGGACTTTTCACTTTTTTCACAACTACACTGGTAGTTCCACAATCGCTCCATTGCTTCGGCTTATTGACCAAATATACTCATGTGCAGAAATGTAATCCAAGTCACATGATGTTGTTATTGTAAATATACACAGAATGGCTTTATTTTACCATCAAACTGACTAAAATAAAGCTTAAAGGACATTAAAAACCCAAATACAACGCCAATAAAAGGTTATAATTTGTCTTAAAAAGGCTATGTGCAACCAGATTGAGTTAATGGTAATAATAAAAAAAATAATCTATTATTGTGACTATGTACCTTTAAGTCTAGACTGACTAGACCCCTCAAAAACCTTTATTGTTTTGAGACATTAAAGGTGAAGTTTCTGGTGAAGTTTGGGGAAAGTTTTTCGGCTGTGAAACAGAAAGGCCTGTGAACAGATCACAAACTGTTGGTTGGGTATTTTCTCCTTCCGGATTTATCCAGTATCAGAAATTCATTAAAGGTAGCCATATTGGTCCGGAAGCAGCCCCAGTCCGTCACACTATCACCACCATGTTCGATGATTTGTACGGTCATATTTATTCTGAAGCGCTCTTGGTTTTATGTTAAATAAAACAAGATACAAACCTCCACAAAAGTCCAGGTTTGTCTCGTCGCTTTAGAGACTGTTCTTGCTCAGCATTAGTTTCCACTTTGCACACATCCCATTACTTTTTTTAACAAGCTGTCTTCCTTTTCTTTTAGACTGAGATGATGTGTGAAACTATTCGAGAACTTTTAGCCAATTTCATGTTGTCAAACAACTTTATATTAAAGAAAGGTTTTTGTTCTCTGGGATTGACAGTATCAGGGCATGGCTTCGACATAGTCAGTTCATCATTTAACAAATGCAGAAATTCATTTTTTGGAAATCACAGTTGGTTTAGATAGCTTTTTTCTTTTTTCTCAATGCACTTTCAAACTGCCTTCTGATTTACTCAGGATATTTTCATTTAATAAAAACAGTAGTTTTTTTTAAGAGCACTCTAATTTCTATTGCCCATAACTACCTACATCTATTACAAATTCCACTTAATCTAGGATTTCCAAGTCCATAAAGTCTAAAACTTTGAAAAAGAAAAAAACATTTGTGTCAATTTGGTACCAAATGATATGACTAATTATGTTTTTGTGGTTAAGATCAATATCACTGTAGAGATGCAGATGTGGAATGTAACTGATTACAGAGCAATGGCACATGACAGATTAGTAAAGATCATTAAAAGGCTTGGAGTAGTTAAACATCAGATAGTCCATGTAGTAGAAGTCATAAACTCTCTGTCTCTCCATTAAGCTAAGTTGAGAAAAGTATCTTTCTGTGATTCCTTTAGAGGTCCGTGCATCTTTTGGATTCCTGTCTTTAAAACTAGGTAGCTTCAGGGTTTGCGGTGCTCCGATCATCCGCAGGAGAAAGTCAGACTCCTCCTCCATGTTCTCAAACTTACCGATCAGGTCGTAGTCTATGAGACAGGGGTGGCAGAGCTTGTTCATCTGCTCCCAGTGGATGTCCATTCCCACCGGCCGGTGGCCATCCAGCAAGTACTGGACAAACTCCTTGAATGTTACCCCATTGCCAGTTTGAAGGGCTTCTGCAGATGGGGTCACCCTGTACTTTGATATGATGGGTTTTCCAAACAGTTTGTGGTAGTAGTCGTTGGGATTCTCAAACTTGTCCCTGTATGCCGAGACGACTCTATCGAGGGGCTCGCGCACAAACATGAATTTTTTATAGGTTTGGAGACGGTGCATGATTTCCTTTTGGTCGTACCTGTTTAGGGTCTTGAGGAACCCTCCGTAGTGTACCTGTTCATGTTTAAGACTGTCCGGGTTGGATGCCTTTCCCGACAGCACTATAAGGGTTCTTTTCCAGTTGGAACAACCTGATTTGGGCACCTCACAGTACAGTACTTTGTATTTATCCTCCACATATATGTACTTCACATGATTAGGGGTGATTGTCCTGGAGATGCCGCTTTTATATTTTGCACACATGTTCTTCATTACCTGCTTCCGTGTTTCTACTATCCTGAAGAGGTTAGTAGAGCTTTCTTCTAGAGTAGAACCAGGAGGAGAAGTTAGTGAGACATTTTTGCTGTGAATGATCTGAGGACTTGTTTTCAGTAGTTTGCGTTGTCTCTTGGTAATTTGAGGGGAGCTGATTTCCTGCTCCTGAGAGACGGTTGCAGCTTTCAGTTTGCTCTCCTCAACGTTCGGGTGCTGCATTGGGGAGACGGGGTTGGCTTCTGCAGCTTGGAGGCCCTGATGGAAAGAGACGGAATGAAAAAGTAGCAGACATTGTTAAATCAAAAATTAAAAGAGAACACTTTGTGCTACGAAACATGCATGCAAAAGTGTACAACACTTCTTCTGCAGAGTTTTATAAAAAAAATCTGCCACTTGATGGTGCTGTTTAACCATTGCTGTAAAAAAGGTCTGACTTGGTTAACTGCAAATGTCACACAGAGCTCAATGCAGTCCGTGACCTATCAATAAACAGAGCTGTAAGATCATATAAACACCTAATGGGGAATGTAAATTAGAATCATCTACTGCCTGATTACCATCAGATGACAGCTCAGGCCATCACAATTTCTGACATTTTAGTTCAATTAAATGCTGTAATGACACCATTAAGCCAATGGACTAGATGTATAATTTTAGCTTTACAACAGACAACATGACGAGGACGTCATAAATCTCAGGTTCTTGTCTTTTGACTTAAAAGGCCACATTTTTTTTTATCTGGGGGGAGTAAAATGGGGGTTTCCTCCCTGTCTGTTTAATTTTTAAGACTAGCTAGACACTGGGAAGCTATCCCTCTCTTTAGGGCTTGCAGTGCTGTAAGTCTCTACTTGCTGTGATGAATACCGCAGACTAAAGGAGAAGGGAAATGTACAGCCGAAAGCATAAAAACCTTGTTGATGAATCATCTGCAAGCACCACAGTCCATCTCTTTCTTACTCTTGAAATACCTGGAAACTGTGTTGCAAGTTGCCCAGCTGATTAGTCAAAATGTCATTACATCATTTATTGTAATCTTGGATATTTAACATATCTTTTGATGGAAAAATTAAAGAAAATCGGCCTATATTCATCAAACCTAAGGTAATTAAAAAAGAGAACAGAAGCATCAAAGTTAGTACCTGAGAAATATTTTGATTGGATGAATTGAGGCAAGATTGGTAGATTGTCCCTTTCTTCTATTTTTTATGATGATATTTAATGACAAACGTCTGCTTATCTGGGAAATGTCAGAAACCATTCAGTAAAAAAAAAAATGCATGGCTTTACTGAACAATTCTGGAAGCTGTGGTTGACTTAGACTTAGATTTTATTTGTCATTTTGTTAACACAAGTGTAAAAACAAAAATAAATTTCATTTGGAAACAGCTATCTGGACAATTTCATCTTTTGTAAAAGTGCAGCCTTGAAAAATAGTAAAAATGACTGTTAATTTACAGTTCTAACATTTTTTTTGTTGTTGTTTGGTCAGACTTTACCAGTAAAATGTAAAGCAGTTGAAAGAATAACCTGTAGATCTTCACATGTTTTCAGTTTATTTAGTAAAACCAACAAGAAACAGGTTATTTATAATAAAGCTTAAATATCATCACTAATTATACATCAAATATCTTTCAGTTTTTAAAAAAAGTATTATACTCATGACATTGTTACTTTTAAAAAGGCCTACTTACTTATTGATAAAATTTGTGTAGTTATGGCACTGGTACTGTTAAATACATAAAAATCTAATTGTTTGTATTCGGCATATCACAACAGTAATATCCTTAATATTATTATCCATAGGTGTTATATTTACATGTTCAATGGACCTAGAGCGAGTTTTATGTGAAATAAAATATGCTTTTTCTGCATAATATAAAAATTATATTTTAAGGTTGTTTTTGTTTTTGCATTTGTTCCTTGTTGAAACTACATTACCTGTAGTTTCTACAAAGAAATTAAATTATTTTACCATGGAGTTTGAGTAAAAATAACAGAATATGGTGACAAAAAAAAAAAAAACTGTTAATAAACAGTGTTTTTTTGATTGTTTACAGGTCTTTAATGTCATTATTTTATAGTCATTTTCTGTCAAATTTACTGACATTGTTTATAGTGAACAAAAACTATGTTGCTTTTTTCACATTGTAATTTAATATATAATATTAATTATATTAAAAAGGTGAATCTATAGGCAAATACAGACATTGGCACATTTGGTTATAAATATCGTCTAAATAGAACAAGTTTCCTTAAAAAATGTCAGAATAAATTGACTAGATATACGTTCCCACAAAATAAAAAAACAAACAATACAAAACCTCAGGGAAGTGTACAAGTATATCTTTTAAGGCAAGAGCCTTCGATAAATTGTTCATTTCTACTTTGTTTTACTTCAAGAATGTATGTTTTTATTATTGCTTGATAGGAAATAAATGTTAAAATTACATATATTTATGTGTTAAGTTGAAAAATTAAAAAGAAAAATCCACAAGTTTGGATACAATGGAAATAGTTCATCTAATCTATTCCTGTTGTTGCAGGACAACTGCAGTGTTTGGTAAAAAAAAAAGATCGGTAAAGAAACATCTTATAAGACAGATCAGGAAGAGTTTTAAAGACGTTAATGTGCAGATTAAAAAAAAGCAACGAGATAGGCAACAAAAATTTTCTGTTGAATCCTGCTAACTTTTGGTTTGGATTATCATTTAATTCTTGGAAATAACTATGAAAGAATTCTTATCTGTGGGCTAAATCCAACATATTTCACTATTCAGTAATGAGGGCACTAGATCTGGGAGGAGCCACATATCAAACTAAGTTCAGTAAGTTAAGAAAAGTAGCTCTGAGATCAGCCAAATCATGAACTCTGACATTTTTGAAATGTATAAGCTGCATACGTTTTTATGACAAATGATGGCATCCTGCTGGTGTTGTATTTCTTTTTTAATCTTTTAAGCTTTGTTTTTACTCCATTTGTTAGAAATTAAAGCCTTTCTATGAGCATTTGCAATAATAAATCATGTGACAGGGATAATGTCACTGCGCATGAGTACAGTGGATCAACAAGTCGAAGCAATGGAGGCAAGCGGGTGTGGAACTACAGTACCAATGTAGAGGAGAAACAAAAAGAAAAGTCCGAGATCAAGTGTAAAAAAGAGAAAGACGATTTTTTTTATTCCAAGAGGGATAAAATTAGGAAAACAGTTTGACCATTGGAGTTCACGAAAGCTAGAGCTAAAGCTCAGGAAGGATTCTGATGTTGAAGTCGATAGACATCTGAGTACATGAACTAAAAAGCAGAACAATTGTTACTGCTAGTGGATGTCGCCATATCTGTTTATGTCTGTCAGCTCACTGCACCCAATGCTGGGGTTCTATTTAGGCTAAAAAAGGATGATATTAAACACTTTCAGGATGGACACATGGAGCACTGCAATAACGATCTAAAAATAAGTAAAAAAATTCTTACATTTAGTGTTTTTATGCTTAATTTGATCAGGTTAATAAGGTGATTTGCCAATAGAATCGGTATATTTACTCTTAAAATATGAAAATTAGACAACATCCACCTGAAATAAGAGATTAAAATAGTTTTTTTCTTTTTTTAAATGTGAATTGTCTTGTACCATTAGCAAAGTGCCTCACTTACTTCCTTAATTCAAGAAAAAATGCACTTATTTTAAGAGAAAAATGACTTATTTAGATCTAAATTTTTTGCGGTGAGTATATAGTCTTATTTTATCATAATCAACTGGATTGAGTTTTTTTTTAGTCCAGGCATATATCTACCTAATATTTTGTTTCCACCTGTTAGCTTGAGCTTGCCTCAAAATAAATCACCTGGCCTAAAAAAATATTTTTCACCTAACAGTTTAAAATCTGAAAGAAAACCACTCCTCTTGATTAGGCTAATATAGGGACAGAACTATAAAACCACATATCAGAGAATGTCTATGAAACAGTTTAATGAAGAAAGAATACGTCCTAAATACATGTCTGGAAAATGCAATCTTGGAAATGTAATTAGGGTTTCCGCTGCCTAGAGAGTCTGAAGTTTTAATTAAGTTAAGTATTTCTTTCCTTAAAACATAGACTTTAAACGCCTAATGCAGGCTGTCAGCTCTATAGTTCCAAATGTTTCACTTTTCATTAATGTTTTTCCAAGACCTCTACTTCTTTAATGAGGTTATTGCTTCCTCTAAACCTGCTGCATTAAACCCTACATTTAAAAATACAATAGCTGTGTGTACATTATAGAAGCATAATTCTAAAGGAGGACAAAGTACATTAGTTAGTAGTAGTTGTAGGAGTAGTTCAAGGAGTTAAAAAGTAAAAAAAATAGCTTAAATATGTGTCAATAATAACTTTAAATGTTATGAAATACTTAACTGGACTGTGGTGAACATACATTATGCGAATAAGCAGTAACGCACCAAGCATAAAGGTTTACTGTAAGCTGCTTTTGAAGTAACTTTGTGTGACCAAAATGTTAATGTATGACTATTTCATTTGTATTATGTCAGATAATGTTTTTTGATTAGATTTTTTACTTTTATGTCTTTATATTTTATTTATCAATTAAATGTTGCAATTAAATTATTCCAGTTACTAAGTCATAATTCAAAGTACATGTTATTTCTTGCATTAGCTGAAATGCAATAGGAAAAAGTTCCTGCATTGAACTTAAAAACATGTTTTTCAGTCTTTTGCAACTTAAATGTCTATGAAATGATATCTGTGAAATGGATTCTGCATATAAGATGGGAAAAAATGAAAAGCAACCAGAGAAAATTTCTATTATGAGAGGAAACGAAAGTGTAAGAAAGGAGCCTGCCCTTGGTAAAGTAGGATTGTCTACTGAGTAAAGCGACTGCAGGGACAGTGTAGGGTCAGCCTCTCTACACAGATGTTATCAGATTCGCTGAGAGGTACAAGGCTGACAATCACTTTTCTCTCCCCTCCAACAGATAACAAGTCACAAGAACCTGCGTGACTGTGTGCTGGGAGAAGTCATTACGTACCTCTTTGGACTGCCGTGGAGAGCTTTGGAACATCGCTCCTAGTGAGACACAAGGGAAGAGAAGGCACATATGTCAGCGCTTAAGCAGAAAGCTTGCATTTTCATCCAATCAGCAGACAATTGTATTAAGAAATGGGGCGCTAGCAGTGCTAAGGTATGCTCAGGTCATATAGCTGCAGTTGTATAACCTCTAGTTTTCAATCATACAGTTTTACTGCAACCTATTGCTGTGCACTGCCAGTAAAATGGCTTAAAGGAGTCTTACATTTATTTATGTCAATTTAAAACATGAGTAGTTTCATGAAAACCTTTACAGGCATTTTCCATACATTCCTCAAGTTACTGCACACAATTTTTTTTTATTTTATTACAGATGCAATGATGGAAACACTTAAACATGTAGCACTTATGAGCTCTTAAAAATATTGTGTTTCCTAGGCGTTTTATTACATGTTTGTGTACCCTCAGTGATACTTTGGTGCTTTTCTCACTGTCTCATCTGCCCATGTAAAGTTGTGACTTCATAAGCTTTTATGATTAGGTACTTCACATCCCTTTGGATTTCTTCTGCTCAAACGTAAATAAAAAATGACAACTTGATGATTACTCAGGTAGAGGATTGGTGACACCATGATCAGTATTAGGGATGAGCATGCAAAAGTGTGAAAAAGATTAGTCGTGCTCAATGTGGAGGCAGAAGAAAAACACAATAGTAAAACGGATGGTGACTGAACATGCAAAGGGACAAAAATTGGTGAGGAAAAAAGGTAAAAGATGGAATTCGCTGTTTTGCGATGGAGATGGGGAGAGCGTCTCTGTGTCTCTTATGGGACAGGTGCGATGTGTATTGGCAGATGCACGGCAGACGGACAGACGATGCGTTTAGTGGTCCGTCTCCAGCTGGACGTCTTCTTTCCTGAGGTTCTCCCATCATGCTGATATGTAATCAAAGTGACAGCTCTGAGTGGGGCTGCATGGCTGTTGATTTGGGGGGTGGGGTGGGGGGGTTGAAGACACCTCTGGCTGAGTGGCTTGTCACTTCTAATTTGAGGGTGGAAGTGATAGGAACCTGCATGGTGGTGGTGGTGGTGGTGGGGCTTTGGGGAAGGGGGGGGTGTTGACGCAAACCACAAACCTCCCTTAAGAAATGAGATGTGCACAACCCTAACGTACACTTAGACACGCCTCAGTGGGGCAGGAATAAAACATGTTGCTCTGCTCTGGTTTGGGTTTAAATTAGTATGCGCTGCCAACCCTGCTGTTGCTGTGCTGCGGCGGCGCTGATTCTTTGTCGCCTTTTCTCTGAACAACAACTACAGAATAGAGAAATAAAAGAGGGGGTTTTCTGAGGGCTACGGCCTTTGACATTGTCTCGTATTGTTTGGATGCTGGTGTATTATTTAATCACCTCACCCTAATGGCAGTACACGCAGGCTGTGCATCTTTGATTTCAGTTCACATTTCCACACAGGGGAAACCATGCATATTTATCAGAACAAAGATACCATTGCCACGGAAGCACATTAGAGAGCAGTGAAAGCGACAATCTTTCTGTGTGTCTGCTGTCATGAACAGATGAAGCCGATTGTAGCCCAGCAGAAATGATAAAAACACATGCTTGGATATTGATCTTTGGGAACCCTATCAAAGCGGTAATTGAAATCTCGATGGATTTAACAGGTTTTGTCTAAAACAGATTGTGTCTGCTCCTTTTTAAAGGTTTCAATATGTAAACCTTTAAACATCACGAGGTTTTACTCAGAGCTCATGCAGTACATTACTAATGAGAATTTTACATCCAATTATTCGGAGTGTTACTGTTAAAGAAAATCGCAGGTGTCAGAAAAGATTTGAAAAAGAAAAGAAAAAAAAAGAAAATGTCAGAATTTATTGTGGATTTTCTTCAGTTTTCTCAGGTATGAAAATAGATAAATAAGTCCTGCCATTGGTTCCCCTATTTACTGAATGAACTTGCTACAATAAAGTGCCATGAAAGATCCTAGCTATTTTATTTAGTTTCCTAAATTACCTTTCATGTATTATATATATATATATTTAAAAGGGTTGAGGTTGGAACACTTCCAGGTGACAAATATTCACTTTTATTTATCTAAAACCAATTTCAACTGAGTTTTTGCTCACGGTCCTTCTCTTAACCCGGCTCTGGCCAAGTTTAAAAACCTACATGTTAATTTATATAAAGTTTGAGTTTGTAGCTCCCTTTGTTTAAATCAGAGCATTAGTAGAACTGACAGCAAACACTATCTCACCATGATGCTACCACCACCATGCCTCACACTTGGCATAGTGTTCTAGGGTTTAAAGAAACTTATTTTGACCCCTTTAAAACCTGCTCATGTCATGCTGATGTTATACTCACCTTAGTGTAATACATTACAACAATGTTTCAGGTGCTTTTATTCAGGGAAGTTATACTTTGGGTTGGGTTAAAGTGACACCATGTAACTTTTAGCCACTAAGCTAAATAAATAGGCGACTTTATTTAGGGAGCCCAGATGGAGCAACAATATGCATCAAGTGCTGCTTACCAACCTGTAAAGTCATTTAAGACATCTCTAGCTAAGCAAAGGCTTGATCAAAGGTTGTGCAGTGTCTGCAAAAACAATCTTTAAAGGGATAAAATAATTCAAACTAAGCTTCAAATGCTAAATTATAAACTCAACCATATTGAAAATATATAACCTATGCTTAAAAATTCACTTAATTTGTTTGTTGCACAATCACTCCATCCTACTAAAAGCATAATAAAAAGGCACCATTAAAAGCCCCAAATTAGTTTAATGTCATACATGCTTAGGGTGAGAGGGGGTAGACTTCTGATTTCAAAATAGGATGATGATACTTCGGCTCTTTAAAAATCTAATTTTTTCTCCATAGTAAAAAAGGGAACAATTTGAATGAAAAAGAGACAATCCTAAAAAACAGCCTAACATTTGGGCCACGATTGTCCCATTGGAAACAGTCTGAGTAGATTAAGTCATTTAGAAAATGAACCTGACAGAAGGTTGAAAACAGAGTTGGAAATGCTGACTCTGACAGAGCAACCCACTCTTAAGTTGGGAACCAAAACTACATTTCATGAGGGGAACATTTGTTTTATGACAGAGCATAAATGAAACGAGTGATATAACTGAATTTCAGGGGGATTTGTAAACAGCATCTTTTTCTCTGTACCATCCACTTGGTGTGGCTAATAGTTTCCATTTGATTGCAATTTCACACTCAGTCAATTCTACTCAGTATAAGTATGCTATTGATTTTCAGCACTGTGCAGTCAAAGAGTAATAAATTGTTCAAAAGAGAAACTTCATCGTGAGACAAACAGCAATCTAGGCTTTTAAATTTGTATAGTTGTTGATATATTTTTATTTTGTTGTGCAAAAGAGGACCAAATTATATTTTTCTTTCTGAATGATTTTGATTATTTAAACAAAGGCAACAGCAATTTAGAAACAAATAGGTAAAATGGGTTATTCACTATGTTAAAATGACTTTAACATGGTTATAAAAATCAACTCATCCTCATACTTTCTCAGAAAAATTGGGTCTGAAGCATAAATGAATGCTTATTTCTTTCCAAAAACCTTTTTAGTTATTAGCTATAAAGAGATCACTTTAAAAAGTGAATGAAGACTGCAGAAACAGGGCTTTAAAACTAAGATTAGCCTAAAAAGTTAAACATATTATTACCACAGCTGTCCAAACAGGGTATTGGAGCCTGATGAACCTGTTTAGGTTTGGCCATGTTTGAGAGTTTTTTATGTTTTCAATATTTTTCACAGTTTTGTTCTAAAGTACATAAACACTGACTGGACGAGGTGAACTGAGACTGTTCAACCAGCTAACAGCAACATTTAGCAATGGGAAACTGCTTCATGTCATACAGACAATTAGTTAAAGGGAGTCTAAAATAAGTTAACCAAAAAGAGGGATTTCTTTTTAATGTCAGTGTTAGAAATCCAGTTTGTGCCGGTTGTGTTTTTGTCTCTTTCTCTCCCTCCACCACTAGGTGGAGTCTTTGTTTTTCGCTGAGCCTAACCTAGTTTTTGTCTTTGCCTTTTCCGCAGGAAGCCTTCCTGCATGCTGGATGTTAGGCCTTCTCCCCCTGGAAGGATTGTTTGAGTCTCACACTGAGCAGGGGATAAACCTCCACAAGTTCTGTTCAAGTCCTCCTGTATTCCCAAGTGACAGTCCGCTCAATAGCTCCTCAGGGTCAAACCAAGTCTACACCTGTCCGCCCTCCAACGAGTCTCAACCTCTGGAAAAACCCACACCGACTGGATTCTGGGAGGAAAGTTTTCTCCACTAACGTGAGTCCCGTTTTCTCTGTCTCTCCAAGTCATCGTTCAAAGGTCCCACGGATCCTGAACTAACCACTGATACTTCCCTTCCCTCTTACAGTTCCGGTTTACCAGTTCACTGTGTTTCCTGAATCCAACCCCGCTGGTTTCATCAATAAACCTGTTCAAACTTTTACCCCTGGTTATCTGAGTGGTTTACTGCATGTGGGTCAGATCTCTCAAGAAAATCATGACAGTCAGACCATTTCTCGGATGTTTCAATTTATACACATTTCATTTTCACTAAAACTGCCATTTGAGTCTTGTTTTTCACATAAAAAGTACATTAAACATAACCCAAAGCATAACACTACCTCCACATTTATTGTTAAACCTTATTATGTTTCCAACCGTCACGATCTCTGGTTTTGTCTTGTATGGGAAAGTCACAAATCTTAAGTTTATAGGTAAAAACTTATTTATAAAAGGACAAATAACTATTGTATTTGATTAGAGAAATTGTATCTTGGCCAAACTAACCGTGTGAAAGATAATAAATGCATTTTTGTTGAAATTTCACAGACTCCATGTAAGCTTGTATACAGCCAGACCTCTATAATCACTGTTTGACAACAGGAAGTAGGCTAAAACATCTCTAGATGCAGTTTTTAGGCTCTGGTAGAAAAACCACAGGGAGAGGCTAATGGAGGAAACATTGAACAGTGGTAAAACC